GTGAGGTTTTGACCGAAACTAATGACCATAATATCAGTAATAGTGAGGAAAACCCAGACGACCCTCAGCCTTCCACCTCTGGTGCTGGGCCGTCTTGTTCACGTTCAGTTGTACCAGAATCAAAGAGGAAACTCCTATTTTCCCAAATCCCAGACTCAGATGTGAGCATTTGTGATGATAATGATAGTGATTATGAACTACAAGCTCTTGAAAACAGTTCCAGTAGTGATAGTGAAGTGGAATATTCCCCAGTGAAGCGTCAGTATATACGACGATATATGCGCTCTGGTAGTGTGCCATATGCTATTCCAAGGGGAACGAGTACATCTCGGAGTACATCCCATGGCTGTACAACAGGAACAGACAGTGAAAATGACGATGATAGTGTTGCAATGGGGATGGAAAATATGCATGGTGGTGGTAGTGGTGGTGGCCGTGAGGCACCAGCAGTGGGCCATGCTGCCACCCACGCTGCCACCCACGCCGCTGCCTCAGCTGATCTACAACAAAGGCCACCATCCCCCAACCACCCACCACACCAGCCTCCACAACCACAACCTCCACAACCACAACCTCCACAACCACAACCTCCACAACCACAACCTCCACAACCACAACCACCTGCCATTGCCCAGTACCCACCAGCAGACCGCACCTGGGATTGGCAGGAAGCTGTTAATTTTGTTCCAAATGCCCACCAGTTTGATGACAGCCAAAGTGGAATACGGCCATCTTGTACACTTGGGAACAATGCCACTGAACTGGAATGTTTCGAGTTATTCTTTGACAAACCCCTGATCGAAAGTATTGTCATGGAAAGCAACACATACTAAGAGTACACCATGGTAAATACAATACTTTCACCAAAAATATTGTCTACACCAGTGGAAGGAGGCAACTGTGGCTGAGATGTATCTTTTCTTTGCCACAATAATACTTATGCCACAGTGTATAAGCCCAAAGTGAAATCATACTGGTCAACAGACCACCTGATTGCAACCCAAGGTTTCAGTGATAAAATTTCCCAGTGAATTGATTTGTGCTAATGTTACAATGCTTCACTTCTCAGACAAAACCGGGCCTGACAAAAACAACAGTTATATAAGTTAGGCATGTGTTTGTGTATCTGAAAGATAAATTCAATATGTATTTTTATCCTTCAGGAAGCTTGAAATTTGGGACGAGTCTTTGTTTCTGTTCAAAGGAAGACTCTCTTTCAAGCGTACATACCAAGCAAGAGGAAACGCTTTGGTAAAAAGTTGTTTGTGCTTTGTGATTGTTACAGTGGTCTGGTATTGGATATTACTGTTACACTGGAAGTTATACATTGCAAAACACAAAAAAATTATTGGGCATCTCTGGTAATGTGGTTAGAACAATGATAGAACCATACCTTGGTAAGGGGCATATATTACATACTGATAACTGGTACACGACCCCCTCACTCAGTGATTTTTTGGAGTGAACATGACAGATGTGTGTGGCACAGTGCGTGTAAATCGGAAACACATGCCCAGATTTGACGCTGCCACTCGTAGAGGTGAGGTGCAGGCATTTGCTGCCAATGACATCATGGCATTTCGGTGGCATGACAACGAGATGTCACAGTGTTGTCATCATCCACCCTAATGAAATGGCAGACACTGGCAGGCGCATAGAGGGGCAATGAACCCATTCTAAAACTTCAGCTGTGATTGATTACACCTTCAATATGCGTTCAGTGGACAAATGTGCCCATGCAGTTTGGGGTTTGCTGATGTGTAGCAAGAGTTATAAGTGATACATAAAACTTTTTTTCCATTTTTTTGGACATTTCCATGCCCCAATGCTTATACAGTGACCCCCGCATAACGATGGCATCCATAGCGATTAATCCGATAACGCTTGTTTTAATCGCAAAAATTTTGCCTCCATACCGCTTAAAAACCCGCTCACTGATTTTCGTCCGAGACGCGTCCAATGTGGGGCCCTGAGCCACGCCCCACATGTTCGCCGGTGGCATTGTTTCCCAGCCAGCCTCCGCGGTAACATCCAAGCATACAATCGGAATATTTCGTATTATTACAGTGTTTTCGGTGCTTTTTCTGGAAAATAAGTGACCATGGGCCCCCAAGAAAGCTTCTAGTGCCAACCCACAGAAATAAGGGTGAGAATTACAATAGAGATGAAGAAAAAGATCTTTGATAAGTAGAAAGTGGAGTGCTTTGTTCCGAGCTGGCCAGGTTGTATAATAAACCCAATCAACCATGCGTACTACTGGTGGACAGCTGCTGCTGCTGCTGCACTGTCAGCTGGCTGCTGCTGTAGCATCGTCTGCTGCAGCTGTAACATCGTCTGTTGCTGCTGTAGCATCGTCTGTTGCTGCTGTACCCCCGTCGCTGCTGCTGCGCTGTAGCATCGTCTGTGCTGCTGTAGCATCGTCTGCTGCTGCTGTACCCCCTCGTGCTGCTGCTGCTGTAACATCGTTGTTGCTGTGTAGATCGTCGGGTTGCTGCTGTACCACCGTCGCTGCTGCTGCTGCTGTAGCATCATCTGCTGCTGCTGTAGCATCGTCTGTTGCTGCTGTACCACCGTCAGCTGCTGCTGCTGCTGTAGCATCGTCGTGCTGCTGTTAGCATCGTCTGCTGCTGCTGTACATCGTCTGTTGCTGCTGTACCACCGTCAGCTGCTGCTGCTGCTGTAGCATCGTCTGCTGCTGCTGTAGCATCGTCCTGCTGCTGCTGTAGCATCGTCTGCTGCTGCTGTACATCGTCATTTGTGCTGTACCACCGTCAGCTGCTGCTGCTGCTGTAGCATCGTCTGCTGCTGCGTAGCATCGTCTGTTGCTGCTGTACCACCGTCAGCTGCTGCTGCTGCTGCTGCTGCTGTAGCACCTTTGTTTGGTGTGGCTTATTGAGAATACCAAGAACAATTAACCCCAGAGATTTGCCACCAGGTTAACCCAAAAAAGTCAGTGTCATCGAAGACTGTCTAACTTATTTCCATTGGGGTCCTTAATCTTGTCTCCCAGGATGAAACCCCAACACAAGTCGACTAACACCCAGGTGAACAGGGAAAAATGCCTGGAACTAGTGCTCATATTGGTGAATTTAAAGCCAGCAAAGGTTGGTTGAGAGATTAAGAATCGTAGTGGCTTTACACAGTGTGATAAGGCCTGTTCTGGAAGAAAATGCCAAACAGGACCTACAGTACTCAGGGGGAAAAGGCACTCCCAGGACACAGTGTCTCATCAGTCATTGCTGCATTTTCAATAAAGTAAGTGTCATTATTTTTCATTTAGTAGACTAGTACATGCACAATATATACTGTGCATGTACTACTTACTATGTGCATGTTCCTTCTCTTGTGTGGGGGAAAAAATGTATATTTAAAGTGGAAAATTTTTTTTTTCATACTTTTGGGGGGTCTTGCACAGATTAATTTTGATTTCCATTATTTTATGGGAAAATTCATTCGCATACCGATTATTTCGCATAACAATTACCCCTCTTGCACGGTTTAAAATCGTTATGCGGGGGTCCACTGTAATATGTATAAGATGAGGACCAGAAACAAACCACAAATACGGCGAATTCTGTTTGCCCTGTCATCAGACAAATAGTATTCAAGTACAAGGAAACACCTGCAATAGACCGTCCACCAAATTATCAACAACTACCTTCTCGTCTAAAGCTTTGGTGATCACTTCCTGCTAAAACTGCCTGCTACTGCTTTCAAGAAAAAGGCTCAGAAGAGTGTTACGTCTGTGCACATAAAAGGGAAACGCCCAAAACAACGCAGAGACACTTGTTTATGTGTGAGGAGTGTAAAACACCACTGTGCATAACCCCATGTTTCAAAGACTTCCACAGGCTGCAGAACTTCTAAAAAATTTTCCTGTGACTGTATTGTGTATATAAAACATAGAAAAATAGCAATAAACAAAAATTTTATATGGGTTCGTTTGTGTAAATATTTTTTATAAACAAAACAATGACAACAGTGTTTTCCCCTTATTGTGTAGTATTGAAAAAGAAAAACTTACAAAATTAGTAGATCATATGGTTCACAGGCCATAAAAGTTACTTGGAAAAAGAAAAATTAAAAAATAATAGAAATTAGTACATAAAAAGTAAATAAAAGAATCCCGGGGAGACGGCAGTCGGCGATGCTGACACATTGCCCCCCTTTTCATCAACTTCACGCCTCCATATCTTGGTAAGTAAAATGGTAAAAAATTTTTGTTTAGCCTTAATATTTAAAAAAAAAAAGCTATTTTTCTTTAAGAATTTTTTTTTTTTTTAAAATTTGGCCGACCCTGAGAACGAGCTCTGAGAGGACCTGTCGACCCTCAAAGGGTTAACGCCTGTTAGTAAGATATGATTTGAAATATGTAAGTGCATGGCCCTTATACCATAATGATTAAGTTTGGGAGTAGGATCGTGGTTACTGTATCAAAAGCTTTCCTTAGGTCAATAAAGAGTCCTAAGGATATTTATTTTTTCAGTGCAGGTCTAGCATTTTTACAATTGCGTCGCTTGTGTTTTTGCTTTTCCTAAACCCAAAATTTGGGCAAAAGGTGAGGATGATTTGCACTGTTATAAGGGAATATAATCAGTGTGCACGAGTTTCTCGAATATTTTGATAGCAATGGTAATTTTTGACATTGGCCTGAAGTTTTTTTTTTTAAATTCTTCGACACTATGAGCAAGTTTATGAGCAGTGGGTCTCAACACTCTAAGTGCAAAAAACATAATGCATCACAACAATGAACAAAAATTTACATTATCTTTTTTTTTAAGATTTGGAGACCTAAAAAGCAAAAAATTTGTATTTTTTTTTGGGGGGGGGGGGGAGTCTAAGGAACGAAACCCTATTTTTTCCATAAGTTCTTCAGTTTTTTTTACGGGATTTTGTCTTGCACTCAATTTTCAGGAACATAACTACTGAGTTAATCAATGGTCTACTATACAAGAATTCATATGTGCTTATGGTGCCTAATAGATTCTTTTCAAACATACCTGTTTACTAGTTCTCCTGTTTTGTGTTGATCATAAAAAGCAATATCTTGTTCAAGGAGAGCTGTGAAGAGCTGCTGCCTGAGACTGTCTGCCATACGCTCACCCATTCTTGTCAAAAACGTTATGTATGAGAATGTGAAGATGGCCTGAAAAGGATTCAACTATGAATTAATAACTTTTTAATGTCAACAGCTGTCTCCTGCTAAGGCAGGGAGACCAAAAGAAGAAAACATATTCACCACCATTCAGTCACTTGCTCTCTCTCTCCAGGAATGTGCTGATATCACAATTCAGAATTGGTAATGCAGACCAAATAAAGATGCATTTAAAATAAAGTTATTTTAGCATGCTAATTTTATGGGTGTAAAAAGGAAAGAAATGACAGTGAGGCTATATGACTGAGGTATGACTAAAGCCCAGTGGATCATAGTAATTAATGTATGAATACCGATCTTCTATTGACATGAAAAGAGAGAAATGTACAGCATAATTAATTTTTCTTGTAAAAAGGAAAAATATATTTGGAATAAATGTATAAAATATATAAGAAAACTTTTATTTTATTTTTATTATCACACTGCCGACCTAGAAAATGTACAGAGAACTTTCACGGCGCGCATAACGGAGATAAACACCTCAATTACGGAGTGCTTGGTTTCTAAACCTGTATTCCCTGGAACGCAGGGGGAGAGATACATGATTATATACACCTGGAAAATCCTAGAGGGACTAGTACCGAACTTGCACACGAAAATCACTCACTACGAAAGCAAAAGACTTGGCAGACGATGCAACCCTCCCCCCAAGGAAAAGCAGGGGTGTCACTAGCACGTTAAGAGACCATACAAAAAGTGTCAGGGGGCCCCAGACTGTTCAACTGCCTCCCAGCACACATAAGGGGATTACCACAGACCCTGGCAGTCTTTAAGCTGGCACTGGACAAGCACCTAAAGTCAGTTCCTGATCAGCCGGGCTGTGGCTCGTACTTTTGGGTTTGCATGCAGCCAGCCGCAAAAGCCTGGTTGATCAGCGCTGATCCACCAGGAGGCCTGGTCCAGACTGGGCCGCGGGGCGTTGACCCCCGAACTCTCTCCCGGTAAACTCCAGGGAAACACTGGCCGATTCCCCCCAAGGTAGGGTGGCCCCAAAAGAAAAACTTTCACCATCATTCACTCCATCACTGTCTTGCCAAAGAGTGCTTTACACTACAGTTTTTAAACTGCAACATTAACACCCCTCCTTCAGAGTGCAGGCACTGTACTTCCCCTTCCAGGACTCAAGTCTGGCCTGCCGGTTTCCCCGAACCCTTCTTAAATGTTACTTTGCTCACACTCCAACAGCACGTCAAGTATTAAAACCCTTTGACTGTTTCAGGCCCCTCTCTGAAACTGTCATTCTATGTCGCCAAATATTCGAAAAAAAAAAATTATTTTTTCTTATGAAAATGTTAGGAATATTTTTGTGAGTGTTTTAAGCCTAAAAAATTTTTTTGCCACAGTTTCTTACCGAGATATAGAGCTGCAAAATTGCAGAAATGACGTGCGTACGGCAACAGCGGGAACTGCGCCCCCGGTATTCTTTTATTTACTCTAATTCAAAGGTTTCTTGCATTTTTCAATATTTTTCTGTTCCAGGTAACTTATGTGGCCGTGAGACCAATGTAAGGTGCATTCTTCAAATTTACACTCATTGTTTACAACCAATAACAGAACAACTTTATCACTATTAGTTTGTGTATACACTTTGTTTACACAAACAAACAATACAAAACAATGTTTATTACTTTTTGTTCCATAATATTATACATATGTACAGTCACTAAACACGTTCCTAGAACTGCTGCAGCTTGTGGAACTCTTTGAAACATGGGGATATGCAGAGGGGCACTTGACACTCCTCACACATAAAACGAGTGTCTCTGGGTGTTTTTGGGCGTTTTGTGGTATGCATACATACATAACACCTCTTCTGAGCATTTTTTCTTGGCGTAGTAGGGGCAGTTGTATGGGTAGTGATCACCAGCCTGAACGAGATGACGTGTGTGGGGGCTGGTCTATTGCAGGAGTTGCTCCTTGGTACTTGCAATTATTTGTCTGATTACTGACAGGCAAAGTTCACCATATTTTGGTGTTTTGTTGGTCTTTAACTTGTATATGTTAAAAGCATTTAGCATAGAGATATCAACAAGATGGAAAAAAGTTTTATATACCACTTATAACTCTGCGTACACAGTCTGCAAAACCCATCTGCATGTCACATTTGTCCACTAAGCACATATTGAGTTTTTGTCCATGACAGCTGCAGGCTTTAGAAAGGGTTCATTGGTCTCTCTGTTGTCCTGCCATGGGTACCATTTCGTTTCTGTGAACTGATGTCAACAATGTGGGCATCAAGTTTGTCATGCCACCGAAATGCCATGATGTCATTGGCACAAAGGCTTGCACCCCACCTCTGTGAGTGCCAGGTCGAACCTTGGCATATGTTTACGATTACAACGCACTGTGCCCACACTTGTCAGTTCACTCGCAAGAAATCACTGAGTAAGGGGCTTGTGTACCAGTTTTTCAGTAAATAACATTGCCCCTTTACCAAGATATGGTTCCATCATTTTCGACCACATCACCAGAGATACCCAATAATTCATGGTATTCTCAAAGTATTACTGCCGGTGTACACAATGATATCCAAAACTAGACCACTTCTGCAATCACACAGTACAAATAGCTTTATAAACCCAAAAAGTTTTCCCCTTGCTTGGTATTATTGCTTGAATGAAGTCTTCCCTTTTAATTTAAAATCAAGGACTCATCAATAACAAGCTTCCTGAAGGGGTAAAAACACATGCAGCACTTTTGCTTCAGGTACATAAACACATTTCTGATCTTATATAACCTGTCGCTTCTGACAGGCCTTTTTTTGTCTGAAAAATGTAACATACATACAGTATCAGGAAACGATTGACACCTATAATGTCACTAAAACCTGGAGTTGAAATCAGGCGTTCTGTTGCCCAGTATGTGGTGACAGTGTTTCCCTTTTACACATTGGCATAAGCATTATTGTGGGAAAAACAGGTAAATCTCTGCCACAGTTGTCTCCTTCCACTTGTGTAGCCGTTTATTTTGGTGAGAGAATTGTATTTGCCATGGTGTAATCAAGATGTGTTTGTTTCCCTGACAATGAAATCCTCAGGGGTTCATCGATGAATAACTCAAAAGCATCCAGTTCACTGGCATTGTTCCCAAGTGGGGCAAGATGGCTTTATTCCACTTTGTGCTTTATCAAAGTCATGGGGACTGGGAACAAACTCGTCACCGTCCCGCCAATCCCAGATGCGGTCTGTGGTGGGGTCTGGATATTGTACCGTGGTTGTGGTTTTTGCAGGTTGTGGTTGTGCAGGTTGTGGGGGGTGCAGGTTGTGGGAGTGTGGGGTAGGGGGAGGCTGGTTGTTGTGCAGGTTAGCAGCGTGGGGATAGTACGTGGCCCGCTGATGGTTGCCACATGGCCGTGCCACCCTCACTATCACCACCACTGCCTGCTCCATCCCCTCAATCATTTCATACCCATTTGTTACAATATCGTCATCTTCACAATAAGGTCGTGGTGTAGGGGCCCCGGGATGTGCTCCCCGAGTTTCTCCTTCCCCTTGGAACAACATATGAAACACTACCAGACCGCATGCCACGTCGTACATACTCCGCTTCACTGGGGAAAATTCATTCTCACGTCACTAGAATGCTTTCAATGACCTTGAAATCACTATCACTATCACTGCTAACATCTGGGTGTTGTACATACCAAATAGTTTCCTCTTTCGTCCTGGTACAGGCAAATGTGACGTGAACAAGCCGGGCCCAGCACCAGAGGTGGAAGGTTGTGGGTCATCTGGGTTTTCATCACTAATTACGTTTTTCCTGGGCACTTTTTCCCGGAGCACTCACTTCAAAACCCTGGAATTCCCTGTCACTGACATTTTCATCGCTGTTAGAGCTATCACTGGGAACAAAAGACCTCCAATCCGCCGAGGAGTGAGGAACTTCTTACCGAGAGGCATGGTGAAAATGGACTAACAACATGGGTTCCCACAATGCACCGCTGGGTCCCAGATTTTTTTCACAGGGTGCACACCGACCACTGAGACCCATTCTCTTTCATGTAGGCCTACCAGGCCTTTCCCGCTTGATTTGAAGCCGCTAGAATTTGTGCGTATAAATACGTCAGAAACAGTCAAAGGGTTAAAAACCATTCGTCTCCTTCACTCCTATCAACACGCTCACGTACGCCTGCTGGAAGTCCAACCCCTCGCACACAAAACCTCCTTTACCCCCTCCCTCCAACCTTTCCTAGGCCAACCCCTACCCCGCCTTCCTTCCACTACAGACTGATACACTCTTGAAGTCATTCTGTTTTGCTCCATTCTCTCTACATGTCCCAACCACCTCAATAACCCTTCCCCAGCCCTCTGGACAACAGTTTTGGTAATCCCGCACCCCCTCCTAACTTCCAAACTACGAATTCTCTGCATTGTATTCACAAACTTACACTAAGGATATGAGGTGGGGGTCTGGAAATTTGTTTAAAAAAACTTTTTTTATGAGAAATCAAGTGCTAGAACTAGTAGAAGTGTGTAAAGACTGTTTTTACAGAGGCTGGGGATTGGCATCTCCAGTATTCTATACAGATTAACACAGAAATTTAAACTTTTTGCCCTGACAGTTTTCATTTGTATAGTATGTTGTGCTAATGCACAATGAAAATTGCAGCATGCTAAAAATATCTAACCTAGGGCAGGACTTGTAGCAATGGCTTTTATTGGGAAAAAACAGATTCGGGAAGGATATAAAGGAAAACACTAGTTTAGTAACGAGTTGTGGATGAGTGGAACACACTCCCAAGTACCGTCATAGAAGCTAAGACATTGTGTAGTTTTAAAAATAGGTTAAATAAATACATGAGTGGGTGTGGGTGGGTGAGAGTTTGGGCTTGGGCTAGCTTGTGCTACTAGGTCAGATGCAGTACTCTTCCTTAAGTGAATGTGACCTGACCTGAATAGATTAGGGCACTGGCTTAAACCAGTAGGAGAAATGGATCTGCCTCGCATGGGCCAGTAGGCCTGCTGCAGTGTTCCTTTTTTCTTATGTTCTTATAAAAGATTTTACAAACCATATAGAGTACAGTGGAACCCCAGATTTCGTACTTAATCTGTTCCAGAAGGTCAGTCTAAATCTGAAACATACAAAAAACCGAAGTAATATTTCCCATAAGAAATAATGTAAATACAATTAATCCATTCCAGACACCCAAAAATATTAACAAAAATACATTTTTTAAAGAATAACTATAGTTTTACATAAAAAAAACAATGAGAAATAAATATAAAGCACTAATGAAATGGATAAATGAACATTTAAATCACTATTACATACCTTTATTGAAGACCCTTCTGGCGCATGGAAGAAGGCGAGGAGGGGAGAGGGAGGAGAGCTTACTGTTTGGAAGGGGAATCCCCCTCCATAAGGACTTCAGGTATCAAAGCCCAATCCAGAGTTACTTCCCTTCTTTGTCTTTTACTGGCAGTGGACCCCTGTTGCACTAAAAATCTGTTCAGAGAGCTCTGTTTCTGGCGTCTCTTTAAGATTTGCCTAAATGGGACAGTATTGTCACTGAACATGTTGCAGATACGGCTTGTATCAGCTCGGTCAGGGTGATATTTTTCCACAAAAATTTGCACCTCATTCCACTTTGCACAAATGTCCTTAATCACTGAAGAAGTTACCTTCTCCCCTTGCAGCGCCTATGCTGGCCTTAAATTCACTAACAGAAGCACACGTTCCAGGCTTTTTCTTTACGAGATCCGGATGCAACTGCTTTGACTTTTTGCAAATGATCGACTCCACAACACTATCTCCCGCTAACTGTTTTTCGTTGATTCACATCAACAACAAATTCACATCTTCGACTGTTTGTGATCCTTGTTTCGTTAGCATATTTACCCCTTTTATAGGTAGTAGGTTGGTAGACAGCAGCCGCCCAGGGAGGTACTACCGTCCTGCCAAGTGAGCGTAAAACGGAAGCCTGTATTTGTTTTACATGATGGTAGGATTGCTGGTGTCTTTTGTCTGTCTCATAAGCATGCAAGATTTCAGATATGTCTTGCTACTTCTACTTACGCTTAGGTCATATTACACATACATGTGCAAGCAATATACACACCCCTCTAGGTTTTCTTCTATTTTCTTTCTAGTTCTTGTTCTTGTTTTTTTCTTATCTCCATGGGGAAGTGGAACAGAATTCTTCCTCCGTAAGCCATGCGTGTTGTAAGAGGCGACTAAAATGCCAGGAGCAAGGGGCTAGTAACCCTTTCTCCTGAATAAATTACTAAATTTAAAAAGAGAAACTTTTGTTTTTCTTTTTGGGCCACCCTGCCTTGGTGGGATACAGCCGGTTTGTTGAAAGAAGAAAGAATTTACCCCTTTTGCAACTTCAGCTTCCTTGATTTCTAGTTTCTTTGCCAGGATGGAACAGATTGCTGATTTCAACTTCCCATACATCCTGGCAAGCTTGGCTAATCGTAAGCCACTTTTGTATTTTTCTACAATCTCTTTCTTGAACTCTATCGTGTTTCTCACCTTCTTTACCAAAGGGGTGGCACTAGGAACTTTCTCTGGGCCCATGGTGGCTTATTTCACAGTCGCACTCAATAATCGAGCGAAGTAATGCTCACTCGACCAGAGACAGATCCAGACTGAGACACGTATGCGTGAGTGGCAGCGTCCTGGGTGGGCAGACGCGTCTGATATATACAATTTCTGGGTGGAGGTATGAAATCCAGACCAAAATTTCACCCAAAAGAAGTGGTCTAAATCTGAAACGTACCATATTCGGTGAGTACGAAATCCGAAGTTCCACTGTACTGTGCTGTACCTCCACGATAATAGGTACTGTACTGTGTAACTTATATACAGTCAACTAACCTGAGCTACACAGTACTTAATTAACTTGACAGAAGGAACATAAATTTCTTGCATATAGCTTCTTCCTTCATTTTCAGTTTCTCTTGTAAACTTTGCAACTACATTCACAACATCACCCAAGAGAAGTGGAATGTGAACATTGGCCAGAGCAACAATCAATGCACTCTGCAAAGATCAAATTGTATAACACATAGCATCACAAATAATTTTTAATTAAAAAATGAAATAGATTAAGATATATGAGCTAATAATAAAAATATGAACATAATTAAAAAAATATACTGCACAAGTACTGTATATTCAATTACATTAAATATGGTTTCTACACTAGAGAAAAATAAAGTAACAGGTTTTTCATTTACCTAGAGAAAACATAGAAATCTAAGGATGCAAAACAACGATTAGAAGTCAAGAATAACCTAACTTCATAGATTTTACATACTCTTAACAATATCCACATTACTTTTCTTAATAAGTCCCAAAACTTTTATAAAACACAACGGACCAATATACAACCTACAGCTCACTAAGTCCATATTTAAACCTATTGATGAAGCAAGTGAATATGAAAAAATAACAAAAAAGATGCTCTTGAAAAATAACAAAAAGATACTCTTGAATAAAAACAAACATATTAAACAAATTAGGGACAAAAGCTGAAAATATAAAATATTCATAAAACTTACTGAAACTAAAGGCTCAACTAAGAGACTCAAATAAAATACCCACACCATTGACATAACACTGGTTTGGGTATTTGATATCCCAGATACCCAAACTAGTGTCAATCCCACTCTTTGTAGCAACTTTATTTATTTACTAGATAATGGCTGCTTGATTATCCAGCCTTAGTATATCCACATTCAAGGAGCGAGGAAGACAGAGGAGAGGTGGGAGGTGGCAGGAGGATGGAGAGGTGGCATGGGGGTAGGAAGGATGGAAGGGAGGTAAAAAGGGTGGCAGGGGGGTAGGAAGGGTGGCAGGGGGGTAGGAAGGGTGGCAGGGGGGTAGGAAGGGTGGCAGGGGGGTAGGAAGGGTGGCAGGAGGGTAGGAAGGGTGGCAGGAGGGTAGGAAGGGTGGCAGGGGGTAGGAAGGGTGGCAGGGGGATGGGGGTGTGGCAAGGGAAAGGAAGGAAGGAAAGAAGGAAGGAGGGATGTCTCTTAGTTCCAGTCTGCCCAGAACACATTTGGTACATACAGTGGTCCCTCAATAATCGTCCGGCCTGAAAGTCGTCCATTTCAGAAATAGTTCCGTTATTTCGTCTAAACATTGGCTCGCAAATGATCCATTAACTCGCTAATCGTCCTTCGTCCGGGATGGGTACTCACGCTCTGAGCCGCCTGGGCCTGCCTTCCCAGCCAGTGTGCCATTGTTTACCAGTGAGCGACGGTCCTCTCACACGCTCCTACGAAATATTGCATAATATTCCATTGATTTTAGTGCTTGCAAGTGCTAAATAAGCTACCATGGCTCCAAAGAAAACTTCTAGTGCCAGCCCTTTGGTAAAGAATGTGAGAAACACATAATTTATGAAAAAGTTTGTAGAAAAATACAAAGGTGGTGGTGGTAGAGTGGAAGCAGTTGTGATAGTGGTTGATGGTGGTAGTGATGGTGGTAGAAGGTAGTAGTGATGGTGGTAACAGTTGTAATAGTGGTAAAGGTCGTAGCGATGGTGGTAGAGGGTTCCTTCTTTAGTGATTCAGCGATTCTACCAACTTCTCCAATGTTGTTGGAGTTATATAGGGCTACAGAAAACACCGCCGCCTCAGCTGCTGCTTCACCACCATTATGGACGGCTTACACTCAGTAGCCCTTATATACCCAACAACAACACAACACAACACCTCTTGTGACATACGTAATGACTTATTTTATTCATTCTAGAGTATATTCCATGATTCTATGTTATTTAAAATTGTTTATTATGTCATATTAGCTGAATTGTGATAGATAAATAAGCCATAGAGTTGATATTAGTATCATATTCTCCAACAATAAACTTGCCATCCCTCCCTCACACAAACAAATCTCCATTAAGAACATAAGAAAGGAGGAACACTGCAGTAGGCCTGCTGGCCCATACTAGGCAGGTCCTTTACAATCCTTCCTACTAAGAACATAACAATGGAAGAACACTGCAGGTCTATTGGCCCATACAAGGCAGGTCCTTATCAAAATGACCTCTACCCAAAGCTACCCAAGAATTTACCCCGCGACCCATGACCAAAAAA